TAGTCACGTTGAATTAATGAAAGCAGTTAAATCTTCTGTTTATTCAGCAACCGCTATAGGGATTTCCTGGGTTTCTTCTGCAAGGCGTATTTGGAGTTTCAGCGCGAGAGCGCCCTCTGGCCTGCGGATGGAGATTTACTGCTGATCACAGAACCGTGCTTCACTGAAAGATACGCATGACAATTGCAGCTTCTGCCTTATCGCGATTTATCGCCTTTGCGATTTAATTTCGATTAATCGTGCAGCCCTACAAGGAATGTAGATTTTTGATAATGTTTTGGAAAGGAAAACTGATTTTTGCCAATGTTTTCAAAAGTTATAAGCATTTTTGCAAAAAACTCATATCTCTGGAACACTAGGTGGAGCTGTGTTCAGACTTCTCGGGTACCTTCGGGACATGCTGACGATGAAGCCTACCAATTTCTGTGCCGATGTGTCATTGTTTAAAATATATCGCAATTTGTCAAAATTCAAAATAGCGGACAGGTGGTTTATCCAGTCATGGCAAAATCGGTATCCATGGATTCAGCATGACAAAAGGACACCAAGATCATGATTTTCTGACAAACCGTTGAAAAGTTATTAGCAAAAATAGCCTTTTTTTAGCCAGACCGCATCAGTAAGAACTTGGTCCTTTGATCACTTCATTTTACCGCAGATTTGTTTACAAACAAGGCACAATTCATCACAGGATTTTCAGAAAGATTGAAACTAAAAGACGATGCTGTGCCGACTATATTGGATCTGACAGTAATGTCGCACCACACAAGTGTGAGTAACTGTTTTTATTACGTGATCACTATTGCTTTGTCTGTTATTACAGATCGTTTGATATGTACGGAGTATTTATGCGTTTTTAACCTTAATTACAGCAGCATCCATCTATGAAGGATGTAAGCTTTCAAACATACACAACTGTTAGCCAATCATAGCAGTGGGCATTTACTTCTGAGTCTACAATCCGCCACGCCTATTCAAACAGTACAAAATAATAAAAAAGGCAGTTCATGACCCCTTTAAGACGGGTCATTTTAGGGTTAATGAGTGGTGATCTAATGTCTTAATTCTGTTGTAGGAAATCAACTGAAAATGTAGATTTGTGTTAAGAATATTGTAGTGGTCAACTTTGATTTATTTTTTTCAAAGCTAGTGATCTGTAGCTGAAATCGTGGAACATGCCATATTCCAAGAACAAGTTTTTTTTGTTTGTTTTTTTTTTTAGGTTATGAGGTTAACCAGTCCTGTCCTGTTGTAGGTCTCCTGCTGACCCTTCCCCAGTTAGGTCTGGAGTGCAGTGGCGTGCGGCCGAGAGGACTTCTGAAAAATGAAGTCCAGTCTGAAACAGTGGCGGCGCTTTGCCCTCGGCCTCATGCTGGCCTGGGTGCTGCTGTTCCTGGCACTCCTCTCCTACTTCATGGAGTCACGAGTGGACGACCCACACTCAGCGGCCGCTCTCTCCTACACAGACACGCGCCGCTTGACCTCGCTGCAGGGCAACCCCCGCACCATAATGGCCACCCATTTGGGGCTTGCCACCTCCGCTACCCCCTCCGCCTCCAGCAACACCCAACAGGAGCAAAGCCAGGAGGAAAACCCCAGTGCCGACCCCCAGCCTATTCCGCTCAGCCAGGAGGCCTACCCCTATCCCGACCCTCAGAGCCTGGCGGCCTGGTCTGCATTCGGCACTCAGGACGTGGGCTCCAGATCGGCCGCCATGAGTCGCAACCGTGAGAGACAAGAGTATAACCAGGATTCACCTCAACAGGATGAAGAAGAGGAGGAGGAAGAGGTGGTGGGAGGGGAAGAGGAAGATGAGGAGGAGGCAGACGACGGCAGGAGGAGGACAACTAAACGGGTGGCTAGGCATGACGACTCTGACCCGGATGAGTACTACGTTCCCAGGTCAAAATCTGTAGTGCACGGTCTGTGGAAAGGGAGTTTGTCAGTGGGCATGCTCAGTCCTCGCCTGCAGAGAGCTATGAAAGACTACCTGAATAATAATAAACACGGTGTGGCCTACAGGGGGCACCGGAAGACACAACAGAGTGGACAGCAGGTGTTGTGTGAGCTGAAGAAGGGGGAGAATGTTCGAACTTTGGATGGGGCCGAGATGCCTTTCTCCAATTTAGGCTGGCAGAAGATTGTACCTGCCTTACCCTTAAGCCAGCTCTACGGGCCAGGCTTCCAGACCTGCGCTGTGGTCACCTCTGCCGGAGCCATGCTTCACTCGGGACATGGCAAGGAGATTGGTGAGTTAAAGTTGAAAAATTAAAGATTTTAATTTGGGAATCCCCTCTAAAATACCCTTAATCATTTTATTACTGTAGCTATTATCTGAAAATAATTCTCAGAAAATATCTGAGTGGCTAATTGGTATGCATGTGCAATATAATTATTATCTTAAGACATTTTTATTAGGATAGTTTTTACTTTATTATGCATGTTTACTCTTGTTTTGATGTTTTTGTGTTGTCTACTGTAAAACGCATTTGAAAAGCTTGCTTTAAAGGCACTATTAAATTAAATTTAAGAAAACTAATATTGTAACCAGAATGGTACAGCATAACTGTCCAAACTGTAATAATAATAATAATAATAATAATAATAAAAAAATCTATTTTAAATAAAAAAATATTATTATTGGATAATGTGCATGTTTACATTTTCATTTACAATTAATCCTTAAAAATACTATTTTAATAAACCTGCCAAATCTCATAATTGACATGCATTTTAAATATTTTGCATATTGAATGCGTATTCTGTACTTTATGATGTTGTGATGTTGTAAATTCAATAGAAGCATTAAAAATGTATTTATTTTATTTATTTATTTTGTAAATCTGATATCTTCCATAAAATAATAATGGAAATAATTAGCAGCTTATCAGTATTGTAGAGATTTTAATAGTGGTTTATCCCTACCTATTTGTTTTATAAAATGGTGGACAAAAATGATAAATTCTTCTCTCTAGTAATGTAGTTCATTAGCCTGACTGTAGGCTGTTTCAGTCAGATTTCAGAGTCATAATTACTACTTTTAAAAAAGGAGAAATTGTCAATGGCTTAATATTTCCTTATGACATGTTTTCTTTCTTTCTGTATTTATTGATGCTTCAGATTCCCAATGTCTAGTTCTCTGGTTCTTCAAAACCCTGAATAGCTGTCCTCATTTAGTCTTTTCAGAAGAGTATCCTGAAAGATGTGAAATTTGCCTGTGAAGAGAGGCTTTGTTTTGGTTGGGTTTAGGAACCGCTCTCTCTATCAATCTCTTCACTTGGGTTATTTTTATTTTATTTTATTTTTTCATTTCTGTGGTGATGCCAGTTTCTCTGAAAGAGTCAGTGGGATACTGATGCCCTTTACGGTTACATAATCACAAGCATCACAGAGCACACAAAGAGCCCAGATTCTTCCAGCTTTGGCATCTATGGTGGCAGAGCAGTAGTGGGCACAGAGGAAGGGTTTCCATGGTGACTGCACAGCTTTTGTTGTTTCTCAGGATAATGGTGACTTTGCCGTCTCATGAAGGCATTTGGTGATGATGAGACAAGTAGTTTCACAGTCATTTGCAAACTAGATGCTTTCTAACTGTATTTTCTATCACCATTCTAATTACATTTGTACTTATGCTAAAGGGCTTCCTCTTTCTCTCTCGCTTCATAATTGCACTAAATATCACTAAATTTCCCTGTAGGGCAATTTCCTTTCTTCCAATATTTATATTTTATTGCTATTATTATGATAGAGCTAGTAACATTTGTGTATATTATTTTATTGCTGTTATTAAGGTGAGACATAACTGTAGCTCCTATTGTTTTTATTCTGCCAGATTTTTCTTCTTCTGGCTGGAGTCTATGATTGATAGTTCATTGAATGTATTGTGTCGAGTAGAGGCAGATTTCTCTCACTCTGTCTGTCTGTCTGTCTGTCTGTCTGTGTATTGTGACATATTTGAGTGTAATGGATTATCGGAAAAGGAGAAAAAATGTAGGATGGGGACTTTGTTTTCTCCATCAGTTGTTTATTGGATGGAGGCAGATCTTGTAGTAGGTTGTAAGAATGGGGCTGGTATAAGCAGACTAAATTATTGAAGAAATCTGGTGTTACCAGAGAGAAGTCTGTCATTTCACTGAAAGATCGAATATGACATTTTAACTAAAATGAATTTAAAAAGTTGTGGAATTTGGGGTACTCTTTGGGGTGAATTTAGTTTATCAAAATTAGATGTCATTTTACTGAAATGGACAACAATTAAAGCAATAGTTCACCCAAAAATGAAAATTTGCTGAGAATTGACTTGCCCTCAGGCCGTCCAAGATGTAGATGAGTTTGTTTCTAAATGGGAACAGATTTGGAGAAATTTAGCGTTACATTACTTGCTCACCGATGGATCCTCTGCAGTGAATGGGTGCCGTCAGAATGAGAGTCCAAACAGCTGATAAAAACATCACAGTAATCTACACAACTCCAGTCCATCAATTAATGTCTTGCCGTATTTATAAGAAACAGTCTTCAAGGTTGCAGGTTTGTTGGGGGAATCCAGAAGTTGTACCTTTGTTGTTCATGACTCTACATTATGTTGGCTGTTTAGTGGCTGAATGTTGCTGGGGCAGGGTCTTAAAGTCACCTGACCAAATTAGGGCTCAGTCTTTCAAATCCACTAGTGCACTCTGTTGTAAAATCACTATCAGGTGTGCCAAGACCAAACAAATCATTAAAGTGTTCTTGCCACTGATGTACTGCACCCTGTAATAGATGCATGCAGCTATATTGATCGAACTGCTTGTTACAGTTGTTGTATAGTAGCAGTATTACTTCACACACAATATATAAGTATGGCTCGCATTGATTTTCCTTAAATTTTAATTTAGACTGAGGCCAGTTTTGATCAGGTTCTATTTCTCCACAGCCCCTTTAACCTGTCTATTAAATTCAGCTTGTCTTGTCTAAACATTTCCCATCAGCCGTGCCAACCTAGTGTGCCCTCCAAATATACTCAAGGACGAGCCAGCAAATCCACGGCACAGCCAAGAGCAGATCTGTCAGTGCTCTCCATGAGAAGCCTGTCTCTGGCTCGGCTCATCTAAACTCTTATATCTATGCATTAAAAAAAAAAAAAAATCTCTGCCATTTTTTTTAAAATCCGTTTCCTCATGTTTTGTTTGGGAAAGCCACTCAGTTATTAACACTGTTGTTTATCACGTTGGTTATTTCCAGAGAGATTCCAGCTTTGATTCACATTACCAATGCAGTCATATGCAATGCTGTGCAATCTCTCAGCGGTTTCTTTTTTTTTTTTTTGGCTCTAAATGTGTCTACCATCCTAGTCTCAGACGGAAACGCCTACAGATGCCCACAGTCCATTTGCTGAATGTCTGATGCATATTGCTCACCAAAATGGAAAGTATTTTCTCTTTCCTGCAAACTCTAATCTGATTTACTTTCTTTACGCAATTTCTGGAAGTAAGAGAACGCAGGTTTTTTTTTTTAAATCAGCATGCAGCGTAAATTTTGTGGGTTAATTCATCGCACACTTCTGAGAAAAAACATGTCACTGGGTTTGCCAAAGCTTGTCAGGATGGTGGCATCAATTTTATTTGAGGCACTTGAGACTTCCTGACAAATCGAAATAAAATAGAAATTGCAACTTAGTGCGATTTATCTAATCGCAAAGGCTGTGATTTAAGTAAATATATGCACAGCATTAGGCCTGTCGCAATAATCAATATATCGACTTATCGCCTTCTTGCATTATTATGCTGTTACATTATGATTATATATTCAGTGGCATAAAATGGTCTTTAAAATGACAATAATATCGCTTATCGCAATTACTTCTGGGGCAATATATCGCACAACAAAAAGTTGTTATCGTGACAGGCCTACACAGCATGTTTTAGAGTGAAACATGACACTGCGTTTTGCACGTGAGCAGCTCATGAATCCAGTGTTTTCAGTGTCTCAGAGCGATTTGGTTCACAGTAAATGCTTCTCCTCACAAAACACATCTCTTCATGGGCTCTGATTTTGGTCCACATATAGAGCTCATTAAAAAAATGCATCTTGCACCAACCATCTTCACAAACTTGTAATGAGGAGCGCTTATAAACCAACTGTTGTCAAAAGAAGCTTTAAAGGGCTCCCTGTGGTATTCTGTAACCATATAAAAGCTTGATCGTTTAACATTTGAAAGTGTAGACAGCCATTAATACAGCATCAGTGTTTACATTTGCAGTATAAAATAAATTGTAATGGTCTTTTACTGTGAAATATGGAAATTATTATCAGTTATATTACATTGTGTATTAAACTTAATATGTGTATTAAATTGCGCCCTACAAATAGGTGCAACAAACCTGCAAAACCTAGAAATTTTTTTAAAAATCGCAATTAGATTTTTAATTCCCAGTGACAGTTGTTGACCATTATTCGGAGTATATTTATTGTTTTTCAGTTTTTTTTTTTATGCAATACATTTTCCAGTTTAAATGAAACCGGCATTATTATAACCTTGTTCTGACTTTAGTGAGACTGCCACAAAGTAGACAAAGTTATAATGATGCTTCAATATGCTTTTTTCCCTGCTATATGGCATTTCCCCGTTTGTCAGCATGGATTTCAGAACTGATGTTTTGCTCAAAACAATGTTTCTGTAAGAGCAGTAGCAGTACCTCAGCAATGCTTTGTGTGCTGTCTCTTGATGTCTTTTGTTTATTCCTATTGTTCATCCGCCCCCAAAAGGTGCATAAAAATACTTGTGGTTGTATATCTGTCAGATAGTCTAAATAGGTGTTATTTTACCAGAATAAGCTGCAATGTGGACTAAACCTTGAGCTGTCAAAGGTCTGGTTCAATGAGACTTTGACAGTACCTTAGTTGTTGGTCTTCATCTGCCATCTAGTGGTATTGCAGTGTCTCTCCACAAAGCACATATATAAAACACAACATAATTGTTTGTCATTTTTCCAAATGTTCTTTAACATTTGGATCTTCTTTTCCCATCCTGTGTCTATATAATTTTTAATAATTTCTCTTTCACACACATGCGTGGACTATTTTTCCTCGCCTGATGTGACTTACATTCTCAGGAGATCGATGTCCCTGTCAAAATAGTGGGGACATGCTCGATGTCAAGCTAAAAATATTGCTAGTTGATGAAGGCCATGTCAGCTGAACGGAGAGATGGATGATCTCTCCACAAAGCACATATATAAAACACAACATAATTGTTTGTCATTTTTCCAAATGTTCTTTAACATTTGGATCTTCTTTTCCCATCCTGTGTCTATATAATTTTTAATAATTTCTCTTTCACACACATGCGTGGACTATTTTTCCTCGCCTGATGTGACTTATATTCTCAGGAGATCGATGTCCCTGTCAAAATAGTGGGGACATGCTCGATGTCAAGCTAAAAATATTGAAAATATGAAAATATTGCTAGTTGATGAAGGCCATGTAAGCTGAACGGAGAGATGGATGAAGAGGTGAGGGGCTTCCTTCAGAAGTCTGTCACGTCACATCCAGGGGAAAGGACTATTCATCATTGACTTTATTCTCTCTCTCTCTCTCTCTCTCTCTCTCTCTCTCTCTCTCTCTCTCTCTCTCTCTCTCTCTCTCTCTCTCTCTCTCTCTCTCTCTCTCTCTCTCTCTCTCTCTCTCTCTCTCTCTCTCTCTCTCTCTCTCTCTCTCTCTCTCTCGCTCTCTCTCTGTCTCTCTATTAAATTTATATGTATGAATGCGTTTTGTATGAATATTATCTTGCCGTAAACCGTTCGTCCACTAGAGAGCATTGTTGTTTTAGACCTCAGCATGATTCTCAAGTTTGTTTTTTGTCCCTTTTTAGTTTGTAATAGTTACATCCCTGTGTGTATAAAATTATTAATTTTAATTAAAAAAAATACTTAAATTTTTTCTACATTTAAATTAATTAAAATAAAATGGATTTATAAATATTTTATAAATTTGATTGTATGATTATTTCTATAAAATTGTTATTGTTTAAATAAGGTTTATTAATTTAAGCTTATTTTATTAATGAAAAAAAAAATTTTTAATTCTCTTTTATTATTATTTGTGGTATTTTATTTGACAGTGTCCTTCTTAAATGTACATGCATTTGCTATAGTAATAACAGCAAATTATGCATGATTACAAACAGCTAACCCTAAAAGAAATCATTATCTTAACCCTATAATAAGTGAATATTGTCAATTAATATTAATGAGTAGTTAACAAGGACACATTAAAATAGGGTCTCTTTTATTATTAAAATGTAATTCTGTTTTGGCATTTAGATCACAATCACATGCCTGATTCATTCTTGCCTAAGCACTTTCCATCATTGTCATATCTACATATGTTGTGGTACATGATTCCTGATCGGAAGCTTTTTTTTTATGGTCTGCTCTAACACAGTAATGGAGTGAAAAATGATTTAGTGGACATCAGACAGAGATCATTCACCCAATAATGAAAATTGTCCTTTTGTTCCAAACACCATTGATTCTCACCTGTCTCATAACTGATGTGTTATAACCAAGTTTGAATAGGTGGACATGTGAATGACATTTAAGAGCCACGGTGGAGGGCAGTTTTTGAGTGAACTTAACATGACCACTCAATCTCATGGCAGATTAAATGGAAGATATTCAATCAATAAAAAGCCTCCTGAGGTGAACCCAGTAATAAATGGCATCTAACTTTATTTTCTGTTATATAAAAGCTGTTTGCACAGTTCCTAACAACAGATTACAGGGTTGAGCAGTGTGAGGAACATGTTTACTAGCGCTGTTCAATCTTATTTATTACTGACCATTGCGCCCTCACATTTCCACCAATGCACTCCAATGTACATGTGTTTTCGATGTGTGTTCTGGCTCTTTTTTTGTTGTTGTTTTTTTTCCCCTTTTATAGTCTGTTCTGTTAATGGATTGAGGCCTTGCTTTCTCTTTCTCTTAGGACATATTGTTTTGTCTTATCTGAAGTTATGCAGGAGTGAAATGCTTTTGTTGTTCACTCATTGTTCTTTTAATCATGACTCCGTCTAAGGCACCATGTGATTAAAGCTCCCATTTTTGTAATTCTAGATTCCCATGATGCAGTGCTGCGTTTTAATACAGCTCCTACCAAGGGTTATGAAAGAGACGTTGGGAATAAAACCACCATACGCATCATCAACTCTCAGGTGAGCGACGTTTGATGTTTTCAGTTCATATTGGTAGTACAGTGACTTTCTATGAATCAGCCACATAATTGAAGCATATCTCATTTGAACACCCTCTGGCTCGGCTGTGTGTTTTCAGCTAGATCGGAGTCATCATGTCCTAGTGGACACACGCTCAATGGGTAAACGAACTCAAACACACACAATGCAGAACAGAGACCGCTCTGTGTTAAAGTTGTGGGATGTGCTGTGTCCTTTGTCACTAATATTTTGTTGTATGTGTACTATGTGATATGTAAATTATGTTGAAGGGAAGCTATTCTAATTTCATTGTACGCTTGCATAATGACAATAAGGCATTCATTCATTTATTTCATGAATGGACAGATCAGTGAGAACAGAACTGATGCTTAGTGGATTATTGCAGAGTAGTGTCTGAAAAGTACAATCTGAAAATAATGTTTTGCCATTTTACTCAACTGCATGCCATTTGCACGAAGATGTCTCTCAAAAATGTCTTTACAGGTTTTAAGTATCAAAACGATGCCCTATCTTACTGCACCGCATCGAGGCAGTCAATACAGCACAGTCAAGAATAACTCGGAGGTCGCCAATGGTTAATAAACTGTGAACAAGCTTTGACTCTTGCTGCTGATTTGAATGGTGATGCTTCCCATTTTAAGTGTCTATTGATGTCCTTTCGTTTTTAACCAGAAATGTGAACACTGCTTTTCTGATGTTCATTGATTTTTACAATGTCTTTTTTCCAGCTTTAAAATCTAGTCACTTGAAATGTCAATTTTGAATCGTTGCCATTGCCACCAAAGGCAAGACACGTGAAGGAAATAAAAAAAAACGATCAGTTGTGGGACTGTATTCAGTCATAAATTGCATACCATTCATTCCTTTATTTTCTACTGTCTGTTACTGGAAATGAAATTACTGGTTGATATGGTCCAAACTCAAAAGTTTACACAGGTTTTTGGTCCGTGAACTAGATCTCATTCAGAACGCGCACTGTCTGTGGAGGTCTGGCCAGGCTCAGTTCCAGAATAAAATCACTGAGGGTGCTCTCACATATATATTTCTGTCAAGTCCATTGCTATGGTTATGACTGTGTCTTTATAATCACTAAAAAGTGTCACTCATCTTAGTTCATTGTGATCTCAAAAGGTTCTGTTATAATCAATGAAGTTCTCTAAATTGCACAATGAATCTCTTAATTGCACTGCATCTGCACTTTGTTTGTTATGCGATGATTCACGAGCATGCAAAACTGTACTTAACAAAAACTCTGGTGTTTTCAGCGGTGAGTAAATTCTGACCAACTTAAACATCTCTGATTGGCCATTGCATTCAAGAAATCAACAGATGGCTACATTGCTCAGCGCTGCAAAAACACGTTGTACATAGTAACTTTTGACGTTCTCCAGAGCGCAAACACAAATACACACTGGATAGTTTGCCAGATATTCAATATGCTTTCGTTTGAGGGTGCATGGGCATGGCTAACTGCTCCAAATTGCAGCGAGGATGACATCAGCGATTTTCCCCCATCCCCCCCAATGTCACCCCTGATGGTGACCATGAGCTTTTAGGCTCTGACTATTAAGCTCGGACTAGAACAAAAAAGCTTTATGAAGGCACAGCGAATGTGGTCCAAATGATTCATCCCAGGTCCAAGTCTTCTGAGGTTGTACAAAAGCTGTTGTGGGTAACAGACTGAATTTAGGGCATTCGTTTTTGACACTCTTCCCCTTCACCACTAGTTCTCAAATATTCACAGATCTGCATATTAAAAATGTACACTGCTGTTTAAAGTGTTGGGGTCAGTAAGATTTAAAAAATTTTTTTTATTGAAATAGGTCTGTCATCAAGGTTGCATTTATTTGATAAAAATTGTAGTAAAAATATTGGAAAAAAGGCAATATTGTGAAATATTATTACAATTTATAATAATAATTTTTTTAATGTATATATTAAAATGTTTTAATAAAGCAGTCATTTGATAAAAATTGTAGTAAAAATATTGGAAAAAAGGCAATATTGTGAAATATTATTACAATTTATAATAATAATTTTTTTTAATGTATATATTAAAATGTTTTAATAAAGCAGTCATTACTCCATTTATCAGTCACTTGATTATTCAGACATCATTCTAATATGATTTACTGCTCAAGAAACATTTCTTCTTCTCCTCCTTCTCCTTATTCTCCTCCACCAATTAATAATAAATTATTAAGAATTATCAACAACTGGTTTTATGATGTGATTGTAAAATAAAGTGTTTAACGTCAACGTCTTCTATATTATTTTAAAACTCTTATGTTGCTTAATCTTTTGTGGAAACCATTATACATTTGTTTCTGTAATTTAAAAAAAGAAAAATTGTCACATGTATTTACTGTCACTTTTGAGCTATGTAATGCATCCTTGCTGAATAAGGGTGTTAATTTCTTTTGTGGAAGAAAAACTGACCCCAAGCATTTGAATGGTAGTGTATATCGTTCATCCTTCAATTAATAAGATTACCTACTTCATCAAATGGCATCTAGAGGAGGGAAACATGGGTTCGCAGATGGCTGATGAGGTCAATCCGAGCCCGGAAGTGTCTCTGGAAGAATGGGCAGATCAAAGTGATCTGGAGTGCTCTCTGTCATTTGAATGTTGCTTGCCCTGGCTTTGCTTGAAGCTCTTTTTTTTCTCTCTGATGTTCCAGTGCACAGCTGCTCTGAGAGCGTGGCCCCATTTGTCACAGCAAGGTCTTCCCAGGAAGAGGGGTCGATGCCAAAGTCTTTCATTAAGGCTTTTAAAGTGTCTCTTTTTCTGTCCACCTTGAGAGCATACACCTGTTTTCAGCTCTCCATACAGGAGAGGCAGGCAGGACTACTGCACTGTAGACCTTCAACTTTTGGTGGTCAAGCTGATCCCTTTTCATTCCCACAATGATGAGCAGAGTCTGCCAAAGGCAGCGCTGGCCTTGGCTACTCTAACATCTGTTTAATCATCGATATGCACGTTACATGATAGGGTGCTCCCTAAGTAGGTAAACTTGTCCACTGCTGACAGCGTCTGGTTGTTTACTGTCACAGTGAGCTCCTGGTACGGTATTCCTGGGGCATGCTGGTACAGTACATCACCACAGTCTTCTTTATTGCTATTATTCAAGGTGTTGCATGTGGTGGAGAACAGTTCCAAGCTGTCCTGCATGTCACAAGCACTTCCCCCATTCAGGGCGTAGTCATCAGCAAACAGGAAGTCACATGGACAGGAAGTAATCTTGCTACATGGACCTTGGTCTTGGCCTGAAGGCGGTGCAGGTTGAACAGCTTGCCCTCCGTCCTGTACTTGATGTCAATGCCAAGATCGGTGTCCTGAAAGGCATCTGTCAGCATTGCAGAAAACATCATGCTGAATAGTATCAGGGTAAGCACGCAGCCTTGCTTCACTCCTTTTGTTACTGGGAAGGGAGCGGATTGCTCTCCATCAAGTACACAAGCCTGCATGCCGTCGTGGAATTGGCGTACTATACAAATGAATCTTTCAGGGTTACCAAACTTGCTCATGATCTTCTAAATCCCCTTATGACTTAAGGTGTAATTTGCCTTGGTTAAGTCCACAAATGTGGTGTAAAGATCAACATTTTGTTCCTAGCAATTCTTTTGACATTGTCGAGCAGCAAATATCATGTCTACTGTTCCTTGTTCTTTCCTGAAGCCACACTGGCTCTCGAGGAGTAAACCCTGCTCTAAGTGCACAGTGAGACTGTTCAGGAGGAGTCTTGCAAAGATTTTTCTAGCAATGCAGAGGAGTGAAATTCCTCTGTGGTTGCCACACATCTGTCTGTTTCCTTTGCGTTTGTAAAGGTGCACTATGATGGCATCTTTAAAGTCTTGAGGGGAGAGTACCTTGTGCCCACATTGTTTGGAATAGTTCTGAGAGCTTATTTCACAGGCGTGGTCCAGATGCTTTGTAGATCTTGGATGGTATTGCATCAGCTCCAGAAGCTTTGCCATTTAACAGCTGGTTGATGGCTTTGTCAATTTCTGACAGTGTAGGAGGGGTTTCTACGTCGTCTTTGACGGCAATCTGTGGTATCCTGTTGATTTGCTTTTTTACATATGTGGGATGAATTGTTGAGGACTGCATCAAAATGATCTGCCCACAGCTCAAGCATCTGGTACTTCTCAGTGAGCTGCTGTGTTCCATCAGCAGTGAGAACTGTGGATGAGCTAACAGGTTGGGGTCTGTACACTTACTTGGAGTCGTAGAAGCATCTCATGTTATTCATGTTGGCGTAGGCCTGGATTTTGCAAGCTTTCAGGCTCAGCCACTCATCTTGCATTTCCCGAAGTTTGCGTTGGAGTGTGTTTCGAACATTGTTAAAGTTTGCCTTGTTTGTTGGAGACTTGCTTGTGAGAAACATCCTGTGCAGTCTATGCTTTTCTTCTAATAGCTGGATTCTGCTGGCTAGGACCAAGTAATGCATAAGCAGAGGCATAGACATGAAATGTGGCCCAGCTGTCCTCGACATTGTCAGTAATCTGGATATTGACAGCAAGGTTCTCCAGTTCTTCTATCAGCTGTTGCTTGATTCAGACTTCTTCAGATTTGAGATGTTCATATGCTTTGATGCAGTCTTCCCTTGTGGGCATTTCTTTGGGAGGGTTCTCAGATTCATCTTGCTAATGATGAGTCTGGAGTCAGTCCAACAGTCAGCTCCACACATGGATTTTGTCACCCGTACATCCTACCTTTCCCTCTTCCTGATGATAACAAAGTCGATAAGATGCCAGTGCTTAGAGCGTGGATGCATCCATGATGTCTTTTTGCGAGTTGGGAGGCAGAAGGTTGTGTTGGTGATGAGCAGCTCATGTTCAGTGCAGAACTGTAGTTAGAGAGGAGACCTTTGTAGTTACACTTTCCTATGCCATGTCGGCCTATGACTCCTTCCCAGGTGTAAAATTTGTGCCTACTCGGGCATTGAAGTCACCAAGGATGATGTGCTTTTCTCATTGCAAGGTTGATGAAACCAGACTGTGGAGGTCATCATAGAACTTCTCCTTAATGTCATCTGGGTTGGTCAGGGTAGGGGCATAAGCACTGAACACAGTGACTTGTTTCTTTCTGGGCAGTGGGAGTTTCAGTACCATGAGCCGGTCATTTACCACCTGGAGAGACTGAACAATTTCTTGACCTAAGATGTTCCTGATGGCGAAGCAGTCTCCAGCCTCACGTTGATCGCTTTTAGCTCTGCCACACCAGAAAAATGTATAGCCTGCTTTAATCTCTTTCAGTTGCCCTTCCTCAGCAAGGCAAGTGTCGCTAAGAGTGGCAATATCTATGTTGTATTGAGCCAGCTCTCTGCCCACTAGGGCTGTTCTTCTTTCTGGTCTATCCACTTGAGCATTGTCCATTAGAGTGTGCACATTCAGTGTGCCAAATGAAGACACCTTAAATTTCTTGTTCTTTTTTTCTTCTAGCTGCTACCGCTAGTAAGGGATGCCCACCAGCTGTGGCAGGCTGGCCAGGCTTTGAATGAGGTGGGCAATTTTTAGGACACCTTTTCTAGTCCCCTTTTCAGACTATGGAAGTGAGCAGTGCGATCCTGAAGAGGACCGCTCAGTCACTGAGGGGGCTGCCGAAAGCCACTGCCACTTCATTCCAATGGAAGAAGACCCTATGGCCTGAGCTGCCTGTGTCCAGGTTTGTGACTATATCTCCCAGTGAATCCACACCTGCTGCTTCAATGCTCGCCTATTTCCACAGGGCTTTTGATTGAGTAGGTGGATAAAATAGAATAGAGATGATATAGACGAGCAAAGGTGATGAAGATGACTTGTGCATGAATTGGATTAAAGTGAGGGAGATTTGCGCATCAGCGTCGGCTTCACTCTCTCTTCCTGTGCCTCACTTGAGTCCAATGGCAAGACAGAAGTCATGGCGACTGGGTGAAGAACAGGATGCAGTGGATGACCATCAGCATTGCCACATGTCTGCTGAGCTCCACAGTGCATTGCTGGAACTGCCTTTGTGCCCGTTGAAACCAATCGAGTGGTGACTTTCAAGCTGTCTGCCAGATCCAGACTTCACATGCTTGGGTAGACAAAACCCAACTCAAAATGTCGCATGCTAACAGCTTCAAAGATCCACTGGTGAGATTTACATGTAACAGGTTGTACTGGATTACATGGTTACCAGTAGCAAAGAGAGAAACCCTGACCAGACATGAAACGGTAGTGTAACTTTTATATTAAACATCAAATGTTCAAATGCTATATAAACTGAATCGCTTCTAAATTGTTAACTTGTAAATGTTTAGTAGTGGTTCATCGGATCACAAAACAATCATATTACAGTTTTTGAATCACGGATCGGATCATTTTTCGGATCGGCAAGAATTTCAGTTTAACTTTGTTTTCCATTTATTACTTAAAGCTAAGTACTTCATCGATACCACAGCAAAAACTACTAGCCTAACTAAGAAAGTTCAAACACGATTAAAGATAAGTGAACAGCCAGTAAAAAATAAGAACAAATAGACAAATTACATGCGTAGATTACAAATTTACAAATAAAATAAGGTTGGTAGTATTCAGGTACAGAAATATAGTAATTAGGTGTAAAATAACACTGCATAGTGTTTACTGTATAAATTAAATATAGATTAATCTTTGTCAAAGCTGTGTTTTGTTGTTTGATTAGCATTAATGATAGCATCAGGTATTTATAGCCTGCTGTTCCTTTAAGACATTCAGTTCTGTGTTCACACGCTGTCTGAAATGCACCTCTCTGCATGTGCACGCTTCATGTGTGTGTGGCTGTGCGCATAGAAAACAGCGCGCGAGTGCCAAATCGAGTTCTTTCACCTCTTCTTGCGTTGCAATGGTTTAAAATTGCTTTCACTCTATGGTTACATTTTGCAATTAATCCACGGATTTACATGCGTGCCGAACCGTGGGGTCTGGTCCATATGGGTCGCGGATCAACTATGATGCATTCAAGCCCTAATGTTAAGCAAATATTAAACTTTTTCAGAGTTTCTAGACTATTTTAAGTTGTAAAGTGAGACGAATATATTGAAATTTAGTATGTGACTTCAGATCAGTTGGCTATGAGAGGGGCAGAGTGCGCTGCTTAGGCCTGTCACGATAACAACTTTTTGTTGTGCGATATATTGCCCCAGAAGTAATTGCGATATTATTGTCATTTTAAAGACCATTTTATGCCACTGAATATATAATCATAAGAGAAGCTGCAAAAGACACAGGCGCAAGTGGAATGTAAAAAACATGGTGACAATAATTTTTAAGTAAATATAATGGGCGATATATTGCGTCACCAAAAATTATTGAGGTCATGTACATATATTGCGCGATAAGCCGATATATTGATTATTGCGACAGGCCTAGCCGCTGCTGCTCTCCTGAGCTCAACAGTGCTACAGGTGTTTCTAATGTATATCTACAGTGAAAAATGGAAATGCAGCGAGCACTAATTGGGAGCAATATGGGCAGATATGACACGGCCCGCTTGATTTTACATTGTGAATAGTTCTGGTCAGTGCTATATAAATCTAAAGAAGTGTAAATCAGTCTGTGTCAGTACAGCAAATTCGCAGGATTGTGAACATGGCGAGTGGCACAGATCATCCCGAGTGTAATAGTGTCGATTTTTTGCTTTAGAGCTCACTTGAAAGTGTCAGTTAGCGGGCCAAATTCTTACATAAATGAAATGCCATCAAATTAGTGAAAGTATAAATCCTTTAGTTTAAACATGCTCTTGTGTATAGCCTGTAAATAAAGAGGAATATGCAAAATATCTAGGCTACATTCCAGAAAGAGAAGCAATTGCAAAAAAACAGCGTAGTAGTAGTAGTAGATTAAACAAACCAAAAAAAGAAACGATAGCCTGTATTGATGTTAATATAATTAATTTGGCCTGTATTTTTTTTTTTGTGCGTTTTGTTCTTACCTGTTCCCCATTCACTCATGTTTACTTAGCTAATTGTTCTGAGAATCGATGTGGCTTTTTTTTTATAAGCTTGTAACGTTCTAATCAACATTCAATCAAAATAAATACTACATTATGGTGTTTATTCTAAGATGACGCTCTGTGTATGAATGTAGAACCTGCCAATCAACATTAGTGTGCCACCCTCAGGCTGAATTATGCAAGGACACTAGATGTCTGCCAAAAGTAATTCCTATAGCCTACAATATGATCCAGAATCTGCTCCACCTAAATGTATGGTCAGGAACTGCTACTGTATGCAGCATGTTCACTTTCAGTGTGAACTGATTATCTTCATGGAAAGCATACACACATTGTGCCTGGTTAGAGGAATAGTTCACCTAAAAAATGAAAATTATGTCATTAATTATTCAACCTCATGTTGTTCCAAACCTGCAAGACCTTTGTTCGTCTTTGGATCACAAATTAAGATATTTTTGATGACATCTGAGAGCTTTCTGATCCTGCATAGACAGCAATGCAACTACCACGTTCAAGGCCCAGAAAGGTGGTAAGGACATCAAAATAATCCATGTGACATCAGTGGTTCAACCATAACGTTATGAAGCCACGAGAATTTGTGTTTCTAAGATGAACGAAGGTCTTATGAGTTTGAATGACGTGTGGGTGAGTAATTAATGACAGAATTGTCATTTTTGGGTGAACTATCGCTTTAAGTTAAAGTCCATGATGCTATTGTATGTTTCTGGCTAACCAAGGAGTTGGTTGCACTCAGTTTTGTGTCTTTACCTTTTGCTTTTCCTTTTGTTTGTCTGCCAAGTATAGCCTGTTATCTGTTTTATGTGCAGATCCTGGCGAATCCCAAGCACCAGTTCAACACAAGCTCGCTGTATAAGAATATAACGCTAGTGGCGTGGGATCCTGCTCCATACACCCTCAACCTGCACAAAGTGAGTACTAACTACCCAAACCACATTAAACACACCTAAAACAATGTTTTTATCTATAAAAAAAATTTGTTCATTAGTTATCAACAACAATTTAACATTTAAAGTGTTCTGATGTCTTAAAACCCTCTGTGCAATCACAACTCAAGAAATTCTTGCACATACAGAGAGCAGGTGACATTGTACCTTTGCAATTCAGATGAGTGCATTGCTGTGAGTGTGTGCTGGCACCATGCGGGAAGGTAACGCTGATTTGTCTGGTCTTTATGCTTCTGCTCAGACACCGCTGTGAATCGTAAACCACGATGGCAGGGGTGTGGAGAGCAGATTACTATAAATGCTTTCAACCTGTCCTTTGTTTCTCTTGACAAGAAGGTCAATAAGTTGACAAGGAGGGTCGATAGGTACATTTCTGTACAGATGCAAGGCCAGTGGTTAATTCTGTACAGTCAATTTAAATGTCTTTTTTTTCAGTTTTCAACCCACCATCACAGGTGCGCTCTTTTATTTTCCTTGTCAGTTCAAGAATACAATAGCATGTCTCAAAGCACATGAATGATGCTGTGGAGCATTTTGAGAACAATGTGCATACAGTGAACACAATGAACCTGCTGAATTTTTGTATACAAATGTTGCGGGTCCCCGGCGTGGAACTCGTAAACAGATCAAAAGTACATGAATTATCAGGAGAAACAAAAGCGCACACAAACTTCTGTGGCTTTCCTTAGGCTGAACTTGGTAACATCTCTTTATTAACATTAACATCATCGCAACAGCATAATAATGCAATCTCTTTCAATATTTTCACAGTTAGCCTATTTAGTTCAGTCACATGTAATCACAAATCATGTTTCATGTAACTAAAAATAGTTTTTTTTTTTAAGACAAAGTCTTCAAATACTTGTTTCTTGTTTCTTAAATGTCACTCTTATACATTAACACATCTAATCATAGCTTCTGTGTACTTGTCAGCAGAGCTGGGTTGTAACGGATTACATTTAATCTGGATTATGTAATCAGATTCCAAAAATTAAGTACTTGTAATTAGAATAAATTACATTATAAAACGAGTTACTCTTAATCAAACTACTTTTTATTGATTACATGATTACATATTATTCACACAATAGCAATAAATTATTCATAATTTGATTCTCCATAATTCCTCTTCATCTTTTAAAATGTCCTTTCTAAAATAGCCTACCACTTATATGCATTCAGAAAGTCTCCCAGTTTTGTGGAAATTCACACCAAGACCAGTCATTAGTCACAGCATTTGACCACTGGATTTACAAAAATCAGTTCAGGTTTAAAACATTGCATCAACTACTGACAATAATGTACAGTATTTGAAAAATAATGTGTTTTTTGAACATTAAAGCATGTCAACATATTCTGTTACACCAAATACACAAAATAATGATCTTTAAAAAAGCATCATATGACCCCTTTAAACACACAAACCCCCTGCAGTTCCTTTATGAAGCCCAGTTTGGGAAACCTTGACAATGTTTATTTCACTTCATGATGTTAATAACAAAGAATGGAATATATTTTCTTCTTCTTTGTATTTTTACATCAATGTGGTACAAGATTATCATATTCAAATTAATGTGATAAACAAGTTAGGTCAAAAGTAATCAAAGTAATCTGATTATATTACTTAAAATGTGTAATGTAATGTAATGGATTACGTTACTAACTAAAATTTTTGTCATGTAATTTGAAATCAGTAACTGATTACAATTTGTAAGTAGTCTACCCAGCTCTGCTTATCAGTGACACAAAATACACTTTAAAGTTCTTTCAATCAGCCATTTTTTTTTTTCCATTTTCTCTTTGAACACTTTTTATATAACCATTTACAATTGAACTATTAAACTAACAAATATACATTTACAATTTCTTAGTTTTCTATTTAATTATCACATACTGAAATTCATGTATTATTATTAACATGGTAATCGATTATCACAAACACAACACAGACCAACTGTCATTTTACAGTCACGACCGAGTTTGCCAAAATGCACCTTGAAGATTCTGAGGCAGATGAGACAAAAATTAAATTATTTGGCCTCAACACCAAACAATATGTCGGTCGGAAATCCAATACAGCTCACCATCCAAATAACAGCATTTCTACAGTAAATCATGGAGGTGGTAATATCCTGTTATGGGGTGTTTCTCTGCAGCAGGGACTGGAGCACTTGTCATGATAGAAGGAATAATGGATGGGGCAAAATACCGTCAAATTCTTGAGAAAAATCTGCTGCCCTCTGCCAGAAAGTTGTCAATGGGAAGAAGGTTTACCTTCCAACATGACAATGACCCAAAGCACACAGCAAAACTGACCACACAGTGGTTGAAGGACAAAAAGGTGAATGTCCTTGCATGGTCTAGTCAGAGCCCAGACTTAAGCCCCATTGAAAATCTGTGGAATGACTTGATGACCGCAGTCCACAAACGTTCACCATCAAATTGAACTGAACTTGTGTATATACATATAAAGTAACATTATTGAGGTTACTACAGCAACGTGTACGAAAGGATTCTAGTGGACTATAAAGCTTTTGTGTGAACAATTCTTCATCTCAGTGAACCAACACTGACAGTTTTGAAGGACAGCCTTCCACGTTCAACCTTCCACAGTTGCCCCTGGTTGTAATGAAACCAGATTTGGTAGTTCTTTGAGAGTCATTTTGCTCATGTAGTTGTTGTGTGTTTGTTTTTGTAGTGGTACTCAAATCCAGACTACGACCTGTTTACTCCATATATGGAGTACAGGATGCACTTCCCTGCTCAGCCTTTCTACATCCTGCACCCAAAATACATCTGGCAGTTATGGGATGTGATTCAGGGTAACAATCTGGAGAACATCCAGCCCAATCCGCCCTCCTCAGGGTTCATAGGTAAGAGACACACTCTCTCACACACATTCTGTGCTACCGGTTCAAAACTCAAAGGTGCAATTTCTCTGGCACAAACAATAACAAGTAAAATTGCAACAATGACTCAAACCACTTTCACAGTCCCAACCCAAGCTCTTATTAGTAATTGAGGTGAAACTGTCAATTGATCAATCCCAGTCGGGCAGCTCAAACAGATTGCAATTATTTTTGGTGATAAAGAAATTACCCACTTGTTACTGTCTCCCAAGAAATTGGCTTTACTTTCAGGAATATGTTCTTGAAGACAGCACAAATGTTTTATTTGCCTCTCAATTGTGTCATGTTTGTCATGAAGTGAGCACCACTATTAATGCTAGCAGTGCCTCAACTCAAGACACCACAAATGGAAAGCATTGTTCACTTCAATTTTCTACTCATGTTTTTGTTCTTTTGGTTTTGTAACTCCAATATAAAGCTCACAAAATTGCACTTGTGGCTGTCAGGAATGTGACAAAATAATTGTTTCGGACACAGCTAATTCAGAATGGCCATCAGTGGAGAAAGCCAAACCTTGACAAACTGACCTCTGACATTAAATTAACTCTATTCTGTGCCATAAACTCTGGTGTGAAAACACCCTGATGATGGAAAGTGACCTTTAGCAGATTGAGTTGTCATGATGGGTTTGAAGGCACGTCTTGTACTCTGTCAGGAGGTTGAGGGGTGTCTGCTCAGTTTGTGTTGGCTGAAACCACAGAGAGATAGAGTAGCAGATGGACACACCATGTTTTCATTCAGCAGTGGAGCTTGTGTTGAACTAGAGCCAATCAGAATCTGACCCACATTCAGAACCAACAAAATCACTTTGGTCATATGTACGGTCTCACAGAATTCATTATGGTGTATTGAAGTCACGCTAAAATGGAAGTCGCAACAGATCTTTTCTTTCATGTTGTGATAAACCTCCAAGTGTAACGGATTATCGAGAAAGATACAAATTTAAGGCGGAACTTGGTTTAGTGGTTGAGTTGTTAATTGAATGGAAACAAATCTGAAGGCAAGCTTGCAGTCGATTGTAAAAAGAAAAAAGGTGTTGAATTTAAGCGGACTAAATTATTGGAGAAGTCCAGCACATGTCACCAGAAGTCATTTTTATGAAAAGTTGCATTCATTTATTTATACACACATGGATTAATTGATAAGATAATAAGATATATAGAAGTTATCTATTTAGAAAAATAGACAAATAGGTGGATTTCCATTTTATGCCTGGCTTTAAACAAAGACAAAGCCATTTGTTTAGTCTTCTTTCTCTAGCTACATTCTCGCAGCTACATTCATTCACTTTTCTCATAAGACTTGAGTTTGGCTGATAAAATGCAGCATGACATTGCTTCAGACTCAGCAAGTAATTGCCCATAGCTACAGATCTTGTTGAACAGTAGATATCCAGTCATATTGCAGACACATCCAGACCCTCCTCACAGATGTAAAACCTGTTTCTATGGTGATGTCTACGGAAGTGTGACGTGGCAGTGACACTTTTGAAAATCCTTTTTGCATTTTTCTCATTTTAAATTATTTTTTCATTCATTGGAGGAAGAGACAGTGCACTATGATTGGCCTAGTATGCTGTTCATGCATTAAATCAGCCTCTCGCTTTCGTATGCGTTCCACATCCGCAAATTGGTTTAAGTGAATAAATAAAGGTGCTAGTAAGAACACAAATTCTCGCAACCTTTGGGTTACGAGTCCGACTCTCTAACCATTAGGCCACAACTTCCCCCTAAGGGAAGTAGTGGCAAGAAAACACTACAACTTCCCCCTAAGGGAAGTTGTGACAAGAAAACAAGGCATCACATTCAAACTTGAAATGACTTGAAAACATCATCCAAACAGCACTAACAATGATATAATTGAATACTGTATCGGTGTGAAAATTTATATTATGGCAGGTCACATAATGCTGCTTAGGTTCTTTGTATGGAACTAGTTGGAATTACTTTTTTTAAAAGGTTTAATATTGAAAATGTGACTCTGATCTTTTGTTTGTTTCACAAACATTTAAGGCTGTTTATGCCTCCCCCATTTATTAAAATCACAAACTATTTTATACTTGTGGTTCTCATTACTCATTGACTTCTGAGATCAATCTGTGGTGCTATATTCAGATACTGATCTACATTTATACTTCAACAACAAATGGCACAACAAATCGACAGACAAATATCCAGTTTGTAATGTCATAAGAAGTACAGATAATTTCTGGGTAATATCTTTTTGACTATTACAAATAAACAGATACTTAAATGCAGAAATGCTCACATTGCCTCCTTAGTGTTTGGCACTTTATACACAGTCCTTTCAGTATCATGGAGATGGGAGCGATGTTGATGAGGTTTAAGCAGTGTCCTTAAGCAGTCCTTAGAGACACTATTCAACCCCAGGCATGCATTCAGCGCATTTCAAAAGCCAAAGTCAGTCCTTTTTTATTTGTTTATTATTTTTGTTTTTGGAAATCTGTTTTGGATCCCAAGTGAAATGTTCATCTCTGTTTTATGCATAAGGTGTTTGGTCTTTTGTGATGAAGGTTCCCCCTGTGGAAATTCAGTTCTTTACTTGTTGCGTAGTCGCTGAAACACTATCATTGTCACAGATGTGAAGTGATCTGGATCAGTGTGCCTCTACTTTATGGTAAAATAATTTTCTATTCATCAGTGATATGGGCTCAGATAGCAATATAACTCACCATATGAAACATAACTAATAGGAATGGAACAATTTGAGGTATGATGGAACAGATAAGAGTGCTCTTTCTTTGGTATTGGTAACAAATAATGGTTGCTGTTAAGTATTGTTTTAGCCAAGGAAAAAAAGCCTCTTGTTAAGCTTAAATATAATTAATAAATATAATTCACGACATGTTATAAATTGTTTCAGTAGTATGCAATTTGGTCTTTCAACCATACGTTCAACCAAATCAAAAATTGTGTTTTTTGTTGTTTTTTTGTTTATTTTCCCCATGTTTTTGAAAGAAATCCTTTATGCTCACCAAGACTGTAGTTATTTGAACAAAAGTACAGTAAAACAGTAATGTTGTGAAATATTAGTACAAACTCAATAACTGTTTTCTATTTTAATATATTTTAAAATGTAATTTATTCACGTGATGGAAAAGCTGCATTTTTAGCAGCCAGAAATAGTATATGCTTGTGTACATCTTAAAGGTAATGCAATTTGGTAGATATACTTTGTAAATATACAATCTTAAAAACATTTAATCACTTTCTGTTAGGACAGTTGTTATAAAATGGACATGTTTCTAATAAAACAACATAATTTCTATTTTATGGATGTGTTTGGCAGAAAACTTAATTGATCTCTGTGTTTGAGGCAGCCTGGTCACATGGAACTATATGCTTACACTGTTATAACCTCATCTGAAGCATGTAAAGTGCTCTCATGCTTCAGATATCTTGCCGTGTACATTTAGTTTTTTCTTTGCCACTCTACCTTGTTCTGTGGCCTCTGGTATTTTTCAAGCTTTTTTTTTTTTCCCAAACTGCAAAGTGAGAGCACCCAAGGTTCTTCATGCACAGCAAAAGACCTGACGCTACTCAGCAATGAAATGCGTTGTTGTTTTTTGATTAACAATTAATCATTAAAGCTGTAAAAGAAAGAAGCCCAGGAAAAAAAAAAAGTTGAATGCGACTGAACAGCTACATTGAGTACAACAAGGCAGGCTTGACATCATGGCTGCTGGGATGGCTCAGGTTAGGTGGTGACCTCTGGCGGTTTGGTCCTCTCTGTGGCCGGAGTGCTGCACTCGTGGTTGTGGATGCCGGTGGAGATCTGAGCGGTGCAGGCAACATTGTTACTGTGGACTCTTCGGTTGAGCTGGATAACTGTGGTCTTGGAGGGCGTGGAGGAGTGACCATTCTGCATCAAGCGCCTCTGACAGCAGAACAAGATGCGGAAACACCTGTAGAACTTTGGACAAAAAGAAGAGCGAAGAGACAGTTGAGACCTGAGAAACACTTTTAACATGGTCTCAAAAATGTGAGTGCTTTTCAAACTGAGCACTGCCGATTTGCAGCACAAGATTCAAAACTATGTTTTGCAGTGTATGTTAAATCAAGGTGTGGTCACATTAGTGAAATTTCTCGGGGCTGTTGTTCATTGTCAGTGGTGTTGCAGTGTATGAAGCTCTGTTCACATGAAAGTCACTTTGAAACCAAGCAGCTTTCTGTTGGTCAGCATGGCAAATTTGTGTGACCAACTTTAACATAAGCAAAATCTGAGATTTTTCACAAAACTCCCAACCATACAGATTCATATTTACTATTGAAATAACTTAAGTTTGCTTGTAAAATTTTAAGGTGTGGTTACATTTAGCAAAATGTCACCAATTTTGGGGGGGAAAAGGTCTATTGTCAATAGTGTAGATATGCATATAGCACAGCTTACATAGACATCCCTTTCAAACAGCATTTTTCTCTTGGTCAGCGTGGTAAAAAATTTGCAAGACCAACTCCAACACGAGCTATATCGGTGTATGGATCTTTCTCGCTGCTTTGTGTGGATTCCTATTTCTTATTAAAATGCAAAATTTCACAGTGTTGGTAGATGCCACTGTACCTTTACAAAGCAAAATACAAGTCTGAATGAATTTTGCTTTTGTATTCCGAATTTTCTCGCAGATTAGTTAAAAGTTTTGTTCTTTGTATGAATAGTGTCAGTATGAAATTATTATTTTTTTATCTGTGATTGGTCATATTGTCTTGGTGTGAGCAGGCTTTAAAGTCAACTTGAATCAAAATTTACCTATTTGATTTCTTAATATACATTATTACAGTGCACATTTCATCAGTACTTATTATTACTGGGGGGGGGATCTCTCATCAAAATATGACTTCTCTAAAAAAAATTACAGACTGACTTCAACATCTGGATCCATAGATTCCTTAACTGGCAACATAAAGGTTATTCTGTTAAATCTGAATATTCTTGTAGGCCTTGTCTGAGTGACTTTACAAGCCTAATTTTCTCATTTTTTAATCGTGTCACAGATTATTCTTCTTAAATGGCCCTTTTGTCTGCTTGTTCTCACATTTTCCCATTCACTGACTTTGAATTTTGAGAATTCAAACTGAGTG